ACAATGGAGAATCCTTACAACATCCATATAGCAAGTATATCCAAAAAGATCTACATTATAACAATATGAAGTATATAAGTTAAGAAAGTAACTTATTTTTTTCATAAAAGGATTGAGTGACTGACATGAGACTATGGCCATATTTAATGAATAGGAGAAATATATTTTATAGAATAATTAACACAATTAAGTTGTATTCTTTTAAAAATATAGCATGTAATATCTAATGTACTCACTTACAAATGAGGAGGCATATTGTCATCATTGTTCAAATTAAAGTGAAAAAACATATGGAACACAAAAAGAACACAAAAAAAAAAAAAAAAAAAAAAAAAAAAAAAAAAAATAGACTTATTTAGTTAACTTGATATAGAATAGTTGTGATTAATTTATCGAGAGGAAGAATTTTTAACAACATGGATCAAAGCTGCCTAGTCTATGTGATTTAAATAAGAGATTTAGTGCTCTATTGGTTTTGGAAGTGTAGAACAATAACAAGAATGTGGAGATAGGGAGTCTATATCCTCCAACTTCTCATCTTAAATTCCACAACAAGAATGGCACCTTGGCAAGGATTGTGAGATAATTCAAGTTATGACATTCAACATGATAAGGACAATATGTTATGCGGTAATATATCAAATGCTTGTCCATAAGAGTAAAGGCCTTCAATATTTTTTTCCTTGTAGATACATTGTATTTTTGCATATTAAATTTGGAGAAGATTCAAGATGACTAGCCACATTTGACTTCTACTTTGAGAGATTGTCATGTAGTTGATTTGGATAGAAAGAAACAACTCAATATTTAATAAGATTCTTTGGTTTCAAAAATAAGTATACTACATTATATGCCTAAATCTAATTGATTACAGAAAGAACTCATGGTTCAAAATACAAGTACTTATAAAATGTAGATATCAAGACTATGGTACATATCAAGGTTTTTTGACAACAACAGTTGACAATGGCATATTGGCAATACATATAGGTAATAAATCCAAATAAAAACTTTTAGGCCTAATCAATATATTTATCAATAGTCTTTAGGCTAATATTTAATACACTTGACCAAAATTAGTTAAAAATTATGACTTTTAATTACCTACAAGAGAGAAATAACTTTATTTGTATAAAATAAATTACAATTGAAATCTTTTGAGGTCCATGCTTAGTAATCTCACAATACTACTCTCAACAATCTACAACAATAGCATGCAGATTTTGATCTCTAATTGATCTTAAGTTGAGTTATTACCTTATTTTTGTTTACTTTTAATGAAACAATGAAATGAGCAGCCAATCATAGATGGTTTTGGCCTCTTTTGATTTATTCCATTGGTTTATCTCCTAAGTTGTTTTCTATAAGAGTTGAAGCACAAGATTTTTTAATTATTTTCTACCTGGAGCAAAGTTGGGGCCTGCCAATTGGCTCTCCTTATTTGATTTAAGGGTGGGTTTCTTACCTAATGTACAAATACTTTTTTTATGAGTTTAGTGCATGTTAAAATAATTATGAAAAAATGTTTAGTGTATTTTTTGAGTCAACTTTTGACCATGGAGTTGTCTCAAAGTCAAGATTTTTTTAATAAGCTTCAGTCGCTTCTGGGTTTCAGTGTCAATCAATTTCAGTTCTAAATGTATTGTGGATTGAGGAATACAATGTCGACAAAGTTGCCTATCTTGTCAATATTCTTTAATGCTACATGAAGTCATTTGTGCTTGTTCGGTGAAATGGTTGTCAGGAACTGTTTTTTCACCTTCACATCTCTACTACTTTTGTTTATTTCTAATACACTATCAACCGTACATTATCTGCTATTCAGTTCTTTGAAATTTATTAAATTAAATTGAGTAAAATACTGCTCAAACCTCAAGTATTCTTTTATTTTTAAATTATGAATTAATGTGTTGCTACATATTCACATGACTGAAAAAAAACAAAACAAAACAAAACAAAACAAAAAAAACAAAAACAAAAAAATGAAGATTTTTAACACCTGATAAATTGTGGATGTTTGGTATTATCAAACTTTGAACATTTTAAGAACACATACTCCATTTCAGCTCCTACATAATACAATGAATTAAATGTGGCAGAATATCAATCTTGACTTGAAAAGGATGCAAAACGTGTGTAATTTAAAACTCTAAAATCTCACATTAAAGGTACAAAGTACCATGCTCTATTACCTTCATTTCTTCAATTGCATTGTTATCAATCATAATCACCACAAGAATAAACTTATTGATGAGCACTAAAAACATTATTCTTACTATATACCAAAAACACTATTACTTTTTAATATCTAGGAATGAAAAAGTAAGTCGTCTTTTACAACTTGAGAATGTTCTTTTTTAATAATTCTCTTATTCATAAAATTATGGTATATGTTTTGTTTGTATTGTAACCAGTGATTTTGAAGTATTTTTAAAAAATAAAAATAAAATAAAATAAGTATGATAAATATTTTTCTACTTTTATACTTTAAAAATCATCTTTTTCAATACATAATCATTAATAAATGTTATTTAAATTACCATCTCAAAGTTGTTATCCATCTAACAACTATTTACATAAACCACAACAGTGGTAAGCATTTCATATCTATTTCCATTACATACCATTGTAACATTCATCAAAACATGCCAATATCTTTTTCTGAAATTTTTATATATCCAACCAATTTTTATTTTATTTTATTCTAAAGGACTAAATGAGCATATCCGAAAAAATTAAATAAAATATGATTATCAAAAATTAAAACTTTTACACAATCATGTGAATTATTGCAAAATGATGTCAATTTTAAAAGAGTCATTATTTTTCAATCAAAAATTTGTTGCATTGCTTAAAGAATAACTAGAGTATATATATATATATATATATATATATATATATAATTATCAACTCTATAACTAACCACAGGACTAAAGATATGTTCATTAGTTTCAAAAAAGTGTGTATGTATATACATACAAATATGAATATACATATTCAACATTATTTTTCTAACATCCATTTTTATAAACTCACTTCATTGTAGGCACTCTTTATTGACATTATTAGAAGATTTCCAAAGTCAAAGTCCATCTAAAATATTGTATTATAATGAAATTTATGCAGTAGATGAAGAATTTATTAACAAAATTTTATTGATTTCAAAATACAATACTCATCCTAAATCAGTATTGAAGCTTTTATTAGATAAAATATTAGATAATAAATCAACTATTTAACTAGTTAATGTGCCACTTATGACACTGAATATATATATATATATATATATATATGTATATGTATAGATATAGATATATGACTATGTATGTATACACAAATATATATATATATATATATATATATATTAAAATTTTAAAACCACAACACAATTGCATGTAATTGCACCATTGAAAAGAATGACAAAAAACATCTTGGATCTTGAATATAAACATGGATTTAAATAATGCCCATTCAAAAGCAATGTCCAACAAGTCTTGTTCTGCCATTGATGATTGTGAAAGCATAGAGAAATAGGAAGCTTTTACATTTCACACATGAGAATATTTAAATGCATTGCATAAATCAGAGTGAATGTTTTACACATGAGTAAACTTAAAGGGAACCCATTATTTATTCCTTGGAATATTCTAAAAGGAAATAGGAAGGAAAGAATGAATTTGCATTGCTTCCAGTTACAAAGATGTGATCAATGAAACTTAAGGTGTATAAGTAAATAAGAAGCACTGGATTGATTGTTGTTTTTCAACAATTTTTTTTTTTTAAATGATTATCATCTACTAAAAATTTGACAAAAGAATAAGAAAATGTAAAAAAAAAAAATTGATATATGATATAAATAAATAAAAATTACATTGGGGAAGTACCTCAGATAGTCAACATTGATAAAGCATAAGTTCATTAGAACAGCTTTTAAACTAATCTTTAGCTGATTAGTCTTTTAGTTGATGAGTTTGAAGAAATACACACCCATTATGTAGCAGAGAATATGATTATGCAATACTTAAAACACACTTTGATTGTGTAGTTGAGAAAAAAAAAACTATTAATATAAGAGATTTTTATATTGAGGATTTTTTCAATGATGACAGAAATCATATATTTAGAATAGTTTAAATAATATTTTGTATAGAAGAAGCAGTTGTTCTTTGTACAGTCCTTACTTTCAATAGTTATTTAAGTAGCCGCTTCTTAATGCGATAACATGCTTCCACTGAGAGTTAAACTTAAGATCTCCCGCTTACTAAACGGGTGCTCTAGCCAACCGAGCTAGAGAAGCTCCTCTGATCGCACGAAGAGCTTCATTTTATATAAAGAAAAAATTATGCAAGATATGGAAAAGTCATTACTTACAAATAAACATGCTATGAGAGCTTTAATGAGTAAATGACTTCGATAACGATTGAAAGGGAGCTTTTAAATATCAGAGTCTGACTATGAAACATTAGAAATTCAATTCACTTTATTACCACCTGAAAGAGAAGGAAAAGTGTGCTAATTTCATGACATGGATTCAATCGTTTCAACTTTTAAGCTCTACCAATTCTACCAACGCTTGTGGATTTTGCAGCAACCTGATTCATGAAAGGAACTCAAGTCGAAGCACAAGATCGGAACCTGCAGATATTGTTAGTCAAATCCAGATTAATATATAGGGTTGACGACTTATGGGTTCATATCGTTTGAACGGCGCCAATTTAAAGTTCGATCCAGCATGCAAACGACAAATGTCTGCATGGTTAGTTCCCCAGGTCGGCAATGCAGGCCTAGTTAAAGAGTATCGACAAATGGACGTCGAAATCGATCCTCCATCCAAAAGTTTCTCTCGTAAAATTTTGACTTGCCACGACTTCGGCTCGTCACAAGCGTCCAAAGGGAAAGTTCAGCCCAGTTGGCGAGATAATCTGGCATCCACGCAGACTGGGTTACGACGGGGTTTGGCAGCGTGAGATTCAAAGAAAACTGCGAGAGTGGTATATAAGTACCTGCTTCAGCTCGCCTCGAAGTGCAAAACAGTTGTGATCTTTGTACAAAGCCACTTCACTGTAGTAATTGGTTGACTCGGCGATTCGAGTGACATTCACACAATTTTTTCTGCTGTAGTACCGTGATACTGTACATTTAATAGAGAGAGGTTGTTTCTAGCGCGTCTGCAGTGTTCATCAAAATGGCAGCTACAACCATGATGTCGCAAATGGGCCTCGTTGGTGCTGGCGCTTACCTGGGCTCCTGCCCGAAATCGAAGTTGTCGAGCTCTCAGTTGATCGGAGCTGCATCGCCCTCATTGGCGACATTCCGAGCCAGCACGCTCTCGGTACGTTGCGAGGCAGGCGGCGACAACCCCACGGGTGGTTTGAGGGAGGCAACTGACCGAGCTACGAAGAAGACCATCACCAAGGAGAACATCCTGAAGCACCAGGAGACGGATGAGTCGGAGCAGAGGTCGGTGTTTGGAGCTCAGCCGACTCCAGGGGCACTTTACCCTCGTCCGGAAGTCGAAAGGAGGCCGGAGACTGGTGACAGATCCTTCACTAGCGTGTTCGCATTCGATGGAGCAGCGCCCGAGACCATCAACTGCCGCTTAGTAAGAACCCATTACTCAATTCTACGTCACTACCCCATTCGGTTGAACGAGATTATATTTGTTGTGGATACTGAAGGCGGAGCGAGGGATATGCTTCTGACGTAGATTGGGCTATGTCGGGTTGTGCAGGCGATGCTGGGACTCGTGTGGGCCTTCTTCTCCGAGAAAGCCACAGGGTTGACGGTGTTTGAGCAGCTTTACATGCCCGGGCAGACAGGCCTGGTGTTCTTCGTGGGAGCAGTGCAGCTCTTCACGTACGCGTCGTTGGTGCCGATTGTGAACGGCGAATCCACCGACGCTCGTAGTTTCGGGCCATTCACCGCGCGCGCGGAGAGGTGGAACGGGCGGCTGGCTATGCTCGGGTTCCTGTCTCTGGTAGTCACTGAGATGTTCCGCCACGCACCCGTGTTCCATTGAGCAAACAACAAAGTCTAGTTGTACAGCTGAGTAGCAATACAGGGTCTGTACATTGTCAGATCCTGGTCTAGAACTGTATATTACTTCCTTCACATTGAAGTGACGGGACAGTGTACTAGTAGTTGGGTTTGGCACAACGCATCGATTGCTCTGATGCACGCTCTTAAACCGTATGCCTGAATCTGAATCATTCGCATTCCCAGCTTCGTCTGCCTTTAAGAACTTTGAAACAAATCTTTGTGACGATTCTAGTTTTCTGCAGTTGTGGCTGTTGGCAACAATGCATCCTTTATTTAAGCATAATTACCACGTGTCGGTACAAACTCCATGCACCTGTATGTGCGTCTTGTCTACGTTGGTGGTAGAGTCAGGGATTTGTGCACGAGATTCCAACGCACTGCACTTTTCTTCAGGCGCCGACTGTGGCTTGACTTAAATAGTACACTGAAGTCTAATGTTTCATTCTTTTCTTTCTTTCTTTCTGTCTGTTTAAATTGTCTCTTCAATTCTTGTTTTTCTGTTTTTTAGTTGCAAATGATGTAAATTTCCGTTTGCTCATAATTGAGTCTAATTTGAAACATTATACAGCAAGATGATGTAGATTGAATAGCTCTGTTTCATTTCATGAAGAGGTGACGAGAAATTACTTTTAAAAAAAAAAAATCCTTAATGCTTGATAATGCGTGCCAATTTGTCAAAACAAGTAAAACTAACATTGTGTAATAAATTTGTACCTTGAGAACTTACATTGAGAAAAAATTATCATATTACTCAATTAGCTAAGTATTTTTCAATGTGTAGTCTAACTACTGTTCTTTCTTGCGTGCATTACAAATAATCTGAAATTTCTTAAGTCGTACAGTTGCAATTCATCAATTGTATAGTTTACACTTTTGAGAAATAAGAGTTAAATGCGGTGCTATTGATATTTTAAAAAAAAATTGAATTGTTACTTGAGTAAAACTGTAACCTGCAGTACAATCATGCTAGTGAAGTACGTTTTACAATCAAGAATTATATACTAAATTTGTAAGTCACTTTCATTCTGCCATGTTGGCCATCTTTACTCTCTATTCCACTCATTCACGGGTGAGGTTGTCAATTCTGGAAACGCTACCTGTAAAAAAATAAGTAATTTTAATGAGTTGGTATTTAAGATCACACAGTTCCTTACAGAAAACTACAAGCTTACTGCAAGATATAATACCACCGTAGATGTCATTACTATTCCAGCAAAAGTTAATAGTAAAACCAAATCAAATATAAAGGTAGAAATCAAAATGCAAATAGATTGTGTCATTACTATTCCAGCAAAAGTTAATAGTAAAACCAAATCAAATATAAAGGTAGAAATCAAAATGCAAATAGATTGGTAGCGACACAGCAATAAGAGTAATGAATACAATCCCCAACGATAAGTTGTGACAACTGAAGTCGAGGAAGACAGTAACTGACAGATGTACAAGGAACAGAACAGGGCGTTGAGGGATTTGAGGCCTGACCCACAGGGGGGTACTCTTTACCAAGGACAGGCGAAGGAAAGAATGAAACATTAACATTTCTTTTACAGCTCTCATCATGAGATCGGTCATCAACCCGATGGAATTTTCACTTTCCCAATATACTGTCTGAATTCTTTGAAGACTGAAATCCTTGCGCAAGTGTCAAAATTTCTGCTACAGCTGCAATGCCATATACTTGGACTTTCAGCCAGCTTTGCGTATTCTGCACTTGTTAGATGCTCACTGCAACCTGAATTTCTGTCCTTGTTATGAAGGGCTCTGCGGTGAACGAGGACGAGGAGCCGGAGGAGGGGTTTCGAAGCACGAAGGGTTAACCATCGAGGCTGCTTGTAGGTACCAAGACTTCCAGGCTTCAGTGTAATGAGCGAACATATGCCCTAGAGCTGAACAAATAATATGAAAAGTCAGAAATCCAGATTAGTGTTGATGCAAATATTATAACGGTTCGATCTCGCTAGTACAGCCATTGAATTTATTACGCTAGATGTAATGAGATGCGATCTATACGAAGATGAAAGTGAACATGGATAAAAAACTCACCCTCATTTTGGTATTGCAGGGCAGCAGCAGCTGTTATTCCATTGTCCACCCTGTGTTGTGAACAATCCTGCGACCTAGTTGGGTCCGATCCCAGAAATTGCTCAGGTACAAACCCTGTTGGTGGAAAAGGGAATCCGGCAGCAGCAGCGGCAGCAGCAAGCTGTGGAAGCATTGGAAAGGGAGGAGGAGGGAAGAAGGGATTAAACAATGCACCAGGAGGCCTGAATGGGAAAAGGTTATCAAGAGATCCCCGAGATTGACATGTACAACAGCTTCTCCCACTCATAGGCGTCATGGTCGGGGTTCCTGGGGTCTGGCTGGTTATGCCTGGGGTGCAAATGGGTGAGCTCGTGCCAGGGAGGGCAACTGCATTCGAAGACCCAGCATGATCACAACATTGCGCAGACCACGGAGGGGTGATTGGAATAGCTTGGGTTTGGATACTGTCACCCCACTCTCTCCAGCCCCCTGCATCAAAGGGAGAAGCAGTACTTGATAAGAAATAGATCTGAGATAAACACATGTAAACACATCTAAGAAGACCCACACACACACACACAGATATATATATATAAAGAGACCAAATTCACGATCCATTGAATAACTTTAGTGGCACTTGCAAGGCGATTGACATCAAATACAGATGCCACTGTAAACAAAAGTCGCAGTGGACATATTTACCGGTAGATTTTCGTGGTGTCCCGCGTGCTGTCGGAGACTCGGCTGCATCGTGAGGCGAGGCTGTAAAATTTAAGGTTCTGGGATCAGAAACAGGGGAATCGACTTGAGAAGCACGAGGGTAAAGAGGCACAGGTTTGTTGATCACATCTCTAGAATGAGGGGTCATCGTGTTTGAGTCCCTTGGCTGCAAAGGCTTCAGGGCAGTTCGCTTCGATGGAGTAGCCTCCGCTCTCGGGGCATCCATACAAGCCCGTTTGAGACCTCTTTGGGTTTTTTGAATTGAAAGTGAACTGCAATTTAGACTTTGACTAGCATTTTGGCTTTGGAATTCATTCCCTGTTATCCTCATGCGAGTAGCAGGTCCAACAAGGTCATCCTTCGTGCCGAGCCATCTGAACGCAGGTTTGCGGTTCTCCGCAATGTGTGTCTGCATCATTGAAATACACATGTTCGGTTAAACAATCCAAACTAGCGCGTGGCGATGGGAAGCAGGTAGTTACAATCCGACAACAAGAAACGATGTAAAGGCCAACACATCTTGCACAATTTTCAGGAAAAATGAAGAGGGAATCCTCAATGCCGACAAAATGCGCAAGAGTCGTAGGAAGCCTATGAACTAAACCCCAAATAAAATTGTTACATATCACTCGGGCGGAAGGCTGAGCACCTACCTTCTCAATAAGTTTTAGCGACGACAGGATGTTCGCAATATCGTACAATCGCCTCACTTTAGCTGGCATGGAGACAATTCCAGTGTTAACACAAGGAAAGAGACTTGAGAATGTATGACAACCAAGTCTGCAAGATTTCAGCAACATATGAGTATAATACTACTGAAACTGCCTAGGATACGTACTCTTAAATTTGGAGGCATCTTTGCAACCACCAAGCAGCAATCGCGCTGCATCATCAAGAGAGACAACTTGCGTCTGCAGAATCAACAAGATTGATTAGAGCCAGCCACTACATTTCTAATGAAGAGGAATCATATCTCCGTTCTTAGCAGCTGTAAAATGTAAAAAAATCACAAAATCATTGGTCAGGTATGCCTAAATCCATACCTGGGAAACCAGAAAAAGTTGAACAAACTTCTGACTAAGGAGCCCCAGAGACTTTTCTCGCCGGTAGTCTGAATGCAGACATCAAAAGTCAGTACAACCAGTCGAATAGTTTGTCCAAATGGCATTGCATTATGAAACTGATCAATCGAATATTTTAAAAGAGACAACGAATTCATTTCATTCACTTCTTGAAAGAATATGGCGTGTATAATCGAATACTTATCCTACCTGCTTTCGCTGTAGGAGCTGCGCTTTGCTGAGATAGAACTGAAGCACATCCCTCTGATTCTTGCGAGGGCAAATTTTTCCTTTCTTCGTCTTCATCGTCAGAATCACAATTCTGCATGACAGTGGTTTAGGTCAATAAATGTTTCTTTAAAAAATAGTATGCAGAGTGTCCCGTTCCATAAATGTCACTGTACTGGAACTTGCAATCACAACCAACATTCTATTCCAGAGCCACAGTTTGAAAAACTGAAAGGAAGAAAACGTACATTGGTCGCAGTTGATGACCTCTCATCAGTGGAAGTATTGGCAAACTCGCCTAAGCCATAATCACGCAGAGCCAAATCCTGCCCAATGCAGACACCGGTGCCACAGTAAGTTTTGGGAGCATAATGAGATTCATGCGTCAGATATCCCAAATCTAGAAGAAAAAAAACGCAGCTGCTTACATCATGAGTGCATGAAACAAAAATAACCAGCACAACCAACAGGTGTCTAAGAGATAATCATACCTTGAGGGTTTGAAGTGCTTGAGTCAGCCTGGAGCAGCCATGCCATGTATATCGGTTCTTAGCTTTTCGAATTAGAATCTGTACAAACACGATAGTTTGAGGTTCCCACAAGCACTCGTTAAACCTTCGAGAGAAGGCTCTTCTAGCAATTCAGCAAAAATGCCACCGCAGTCGCACTTGACCACATGAACATGCTCATATTCACGCATCTCTTACACTAATAGGCCCAGCCAGATCTGAACAGTGCAGGAATAGTACATAAGAACAACTCACCTCTACACTTTCGAGAACATTCACAATGTCATAAATACGTCTTCTCTCAACACCCAAACGACTTGAAGCTTCATCAAGACTAATACACTCTCCTTCCTCTGTCCCACACAGGTTCAAGAAGCTGCAAAGACACGTTACCATTAGAATTGGCAATTGATAAATCTTCTACACAGTGCAATAATCCAACGTCTAAGTGCCCTATTAGGGCACACGAGTGACGTGCTCATCTGACAGTGCTCCAACTAAAACCAACACGAATGACGCAGTACACATCGCAGCCACGGCAAGAGCTTACTTTCCGAGGGAGTCTTCATCAAAACCCTAACCAATGGTAATCCGTCAAATGTCAAATCCAAGAATGCTTAGAGCAATGTAAAGTATACCGGACTGCAATTACAGAGCCGCAGTTGCTCCCATCCATTGTGGCCATCATCAATTACGTGACCCATATCTCATAGGAAACGCACATGATCATTTGACACTGGCGGTTAACCTAGGCAAAACGAATCTTGCTGTCAATAAACCAGCAATGTAATGCACGTGCATCAGCTCGAGTGAAGGACTCACTTTTCGCAAAGAAGACCCAAGGATTTATCCTTACGATTGTAGGAGGGATGGGTTCGAGTGTCCGCATCCGATTGCAGATGATTTTCTGCGCAAATGGACGGCGACAGGCTCTGGGTGGACTCATCCAATGTTTCATAGTCTCGCAAAGCTGAACTCCCTGTCAGCCTCTTCACACTGCCTCCACTCCTGCGCACCTGGTTCTCCTTTCCACTGGAGATGCTACCCTGTTCTGAAGTGTGAGAAACCCTTTCCCTAGCTGTGTTCACATCGTTCCGAGTGTTAGGTGTGACCGGAAGCATTCTGTCTCCGTTCGCAAGACCACGTCTCTGGAGCGGGCTCCGTCGAGGCTGCTTCGTAGAGGACGGTGAATCCATCCCAGACAAACACACAATCCGATTCCCAACCTATTCGTATGAAAGAATGCTACACCTCTCAATCTCCACACATTGTACGCCCTCCAAAACACTTGATCAAAACCACAACTCACGACCTACATTACCCCTGAATTTGAATCCCAAAGCGCGGGAAGCGTCTCCTTGCTCCAGCATGACTGCTTTTCTCACCGCAATCTAACCCCTAAAAATCAGCACCCTCTCTCTCCCTCGCCCACAATTCACACTCCCTGAAAATTCCTCCCATTCATGCTCAAGCCTCCCTTATCCTCCTCAACCCCACTCCTCACACACCCTATACCCACAAACATCCCCAACACCTCAAAAACCAACCTCATAAAATTCACGCCACCTTCAGTTCTCAAAACCACTCAGCAAAAACCCAACTTCCAACCCGACTCCTACCCAACAAAACCCAACTTCATCACTGCCCTACGATCATTCCCTCACTCAATGTACGCTTGGACTCCCTCGGATTCTACACCAAGATGGCTGACGAGGAGAAAAAGGGCAGCTCGCGGCGGACACGAGCGGAGGGAGGGAGAGCAAGGGCGGGGGAGGAGGGAGGAGGGACAGACAGACAGCACGGTGTTGGCCTCGTCGACGACGCGGCATCCATCCCTCTGAATGACCCCGCAAAGGGACCCACCCACAACTGAGCCGACGACGAGAAATCACACAAACACAAACAAACACTTCTAAAATCACGATTTGGTGCGAAGATCACCATCGGTGAACAGAGAGTCACGGAATCGTCGCTCAGGAGGGAGAGCTGCGTGACGACGACGACGAACGACCCACAATAGAACGAACGATAAATGCCCTCGTCAACGACCCCCCCCCTCCATGCGCTAGAAACTCGACGATAACTGAAGTCTTCGGTCGTCTTTCGTTCGTTTGTTAATTTGTTCGTTCGTCTACAGGAGGGGCCACATGGGCTGTGCCAGAGCAAGGACAACCAGTACCCTTGAATATGACGTGTACTAATGTTATGTTTAGCCTACCCTCTGTTCCTTTATGGCAGGGGAATGTGGAGGGAAAAATACTCTTGAATTTTAGTTCTGGAAAATTTATTTAGCATCACTGGATTTGACTCTTTTTGAAACTGGGTGGGCTCCACTTCCACTACAGTGTCCGTGTGTGTGTGTGTGTTGGGGTTTGAAATTGGCTTCCAATGAACAGAATGGGCGGGGTGGTGAGGGGGCGGGGATGTGTATCGCGCCATCGGTTTTTGGCGGGTATCCATCTCGCCGAACGATAAGGGCGGGAATATTGGTCTTCGAAAGGATGACGGCGGATATGAAATTTTGTCCAAGTTTTGGCGGGTGTGGATTTCGCGGACCGATAAGAGCGGGAACTTGGGTCGTTGCAGGTGAAGGGCTGTCAAAACCATAGCATTTTCGTTTTGGCGAGTATGTTCCTTTTCGCGTGTTGGTAACCGGGTATATTCCTCGTCGCGGATTTCTGGCGGGTATGCATCTTGTTTCATTGGGCGTGGGATGGGGAGCTTGAAATGTGGAGGATTTATTGTTTCATAATTAAATAATTAATTATATATTATTTATGATTCTTTTTTCATATCGATAATTTTTATGTGGTAGAAGATATGTTTGAGCTTGTAATTACAGTTAATACTTTTTATTACAAGCTCAAACATATCTTCTACCACATAAAAATTACACATTTCGACATTTTTGTTTAAATAAATGTAAATTACATAATATCAGAAAGCACTTTATGGTTCGTTATAACACATAGTGTATTAGCATAAATTAATCTATTTTCACACTCATGCCAAATACTCTGACTAACATTGGAATCATCAAAATACTTAATATGAGATTAATAAGTAAAAGGAATCCGAAATTTAGGTTTAATCGTTTGATGTTTAGGTCAAATTGTATCTTTCCTATTTTGGGTTTTATAAGACATGTATTAAAATGTCCCTACTGGTGGAAATTTAATCTCATTTGAGGATCATTTGAAATTGAATGATAACCAATGATTTGCCAGAAAAGATTAACAGTTCATTGATTTTATGCACTGTTAACTTGTTTCTAGTGATTTATCGATTTGTATTCAATTTCACTTGATCATCAAAATAAAAAATAAAAAGAAAAAAAGACGTTAGTACTAAAAAGCTTAACCATAAAATACTACTTTTACAATGTACAACAATTTTCGATGACAATTAGGTGCTGTTTTTATTTTTTGATTTTACACTAATGAATTCAACATGTTATGTATATGTATATATACATATAATGGTGTAGTAGACATGACAGGAATGATTCCATACCCAATATGTAAGATTTTTTTGGCCATTATGTAAAATAATGCAAGACATGTAAACTTAAATCTGTTTTTACTTCAATCAGAATACATCAATCCTGTAGGGTTGATTTAAAATTGTATTACATTATCACCAAATAACGTTTTTTTAAATTTCTAAACATGCACATGTAAATAATAAAATAAGCAGTGTATTATACACATATCCATGTGATGGATTGTTTTTTGGAACAATATTGAATTAATACTTATATTTACAAAGAACTTTCCTATTGTATAAAAGTTTTTTCAAAAACTCTGTAAAGCTTGAGTAGTAATCTATGTAAAACCATGAAGGTTTATATATAATATTGAAAGTGAATCCATGTTTTTCAATGTTACTTCGACTGTCGAAAAAATAAATAAGTAAACATATAAATTTATGAATATCGTTCTTCTTATTTGTATTCAAATATTAATATTTTAATTTTAAAATTAATCTCTACACAGTACCTTTTTCTTCTAAAAACAACGATTAATTTTTACAATTTGATATTTGACAAGAGACATGTACCGAGACACATGGAAAAAATATTCCATCATGCTCAGAAGTTCTTTTGAACAAAAGAAGTGCAGCCAGAAAATCCACATTCCTCAACCTTCGAAAATATTCTCCCCATTTTCCCAAGGATCGAATACCCATCATCTGTACAAAATCCATGGACTCGCTTGTTAGCGAAATCACAATAAGAAAATAAGAAAAATAAAAAATCATGTTTCCAGGAGCCCAGGTAAGCAAATTGCTTAAACCAGCCTTTGAAGCACTGTTGACTCCACCACATGCAAGCCACAGAAACCCTAAATTTACCACCTTTTTCAGTGCTCAAAATCATGCACCAACACGCACAAACGTTCTGCAGATGGGGTACAAACACCGTCGACCCCAATCCTCACAGGCAACCCCAACTGAATCCGCCTCGTGAATGGCGGCAGATCGGCCGTGAACCAAGTTAGCTGACCGGTCTGTCTATCGCAGTTATGGAGTCTGCACTGCGGCCAGTACAAAAACCTTTTTTTCAGTTCACCTGCAAAACTCAGAGGATCCTTTGCAAAACCACTGGAACACGTGAACTAGATCGAAAGAGCCAAACCCAACGATGGATCTCTGGAGATACAGAGTTGGAATGGTGCAGGAGGGTAGTGAACTTCCAGAGTACAGATCAAGCAATCTGCAAAACCTTGTGCGGAAGGGTTTGTTGGTTTGTTTGGTTGTTTGTTAGATGCGTCGAGAGGGGCCTCCGGATCGGCATCGATCGGTGATTCCGACCGGCGCTTGCTCACGACAACCTGCGATGCGTGGGTTCCGATGGCAAGGAAAGGAAGCACCGGAAGCGGAGGAGGAAGAGGAGGATTGTATGAGTGTATGTATGCGACTCCCGGTGCAACAACCGAGGCATGTGGCGGTGGCGGTGACTCCACGGCGTTGACTTCGTTTTGTCTGCGCAATCATGACGTGGTTGGTGAAGAGGATCGTAGTCAATCGAATGAATGTGTATATATATATATATATATATATATTTTTTTTCATTCTTAGTTTTCTATTATTATTTGTAGGGGAATGGTGAATCAACTCCACTTGCCATTATTTTGACCCCACCATCATAATCAACAATTGGTCCCCATTTCTCATAGCAATCCTCCATCCCCCACTTCCAACCCACATCTCCCACCTTTACCTTGTTTGATCCTCCCAAATGGCAGACTATATGTGAGAGTTTCTTTCAAAGCCCGTGTGTGAATTTATTCCATGGCTGTTAGTTATCAGAGAAGTGCTTGACAAGGTATCTAATCCTTTCGAGGCTATTGGTTATTTTCATTTGAAATTGCGCACTTTCCTTGCAACTTTATCCATCATTAGAATTATTTGATACTTTTTATAGTGGATAAACGTAAGCCTTAAATACAAATAGATGATTAAATCTACCATGTTTGCAATTCACCAACCCTAGGGGCTACCTATCAACAACTCAATTTTAGATAAGCCAAGCCCTTCTTGAGCTTGTTGCCTTTCTAATGAAACTGGACCCGATTTGCATATGAAAGGTGCTTTTAACCCTTGTTCAATCGATTGTGCTCAAAGTATGTTGCTTATGTCTTTTTGTATGAAGTAGTTTGACTCCTCACAAGCTCTTATTCAACCTGGTATGTGTAATTGTACATGATTCTAGAAGAAGGCAAGAATCACATGCTTCTTCATGTGCATGTTCATGTTCTTTGCTTAAGATTATTAGAATTGCAAACTCGTGATAATGAACTCACATAACATATGAGTATCCTTATTCCATGCCTTCTTTTAAAACTACACATTTTTGTCTAATATGATGTATGTGATGTATTGATAATCAATGACTTTAGAAGAAACTCACCCATAAAACTACCATTTGAGAGGGTTGGAACAAATGATAAGAGGTTGAAATGAAGAATGTACGCTTGGAATGGAAACATAAGATAAGATTGAAAGTGAGGATTATAGAACGGATTTAGAAATAGGAAATATGGGATGGAGTTGAAAATGAGGGATGAAGAATTGGTATGGGAAGATAGACCCATTGGTGGTTATGATGGTGGAGTCAAAATAATGGTAGCTATGAATGATTTAACATTTACCTATTTGTATCTTATAAAAAATTGAATCAAGATTAATTTTTTTAGAATATAAAAAAAATTAGAGTTGAATTTAAGAATAATTAGTTAAAAATTATGTGTGGTTTTAGGTTACTAAAATGACATTATATTAGTTTCCAATGACTTTAAACCACAAAAAAATAGTAGGTTGGTACCAAAAGTTTGAAAATTTAGATTCTAAATATAAATTTGTAATCTTGTTTAATGAAGGCTAACATAAAAGTAATGATTATTTAATATTTAAAAATAAATCTATAAAAAAAAAGATAATAATATAAATTATTATAATAAAATATAATATTAATTTAATATATATTTTTACTTTATTAAGATTGATAATTATAACTTTTGATTTTTGTACAATATATTATATCTTTTTCTTAATTTTTAATCAAATTATTTATTGATATAAGAAAGTAATATTTTTTTTGAAAATTAAAATCAATTTCAAAACACTTAATTCTAAATTCTTAAGGTGTCTAAATTAAAAAACCAAATCATTTTTTAAAATTAAATTATTACAATTGAGGGATTTAATACTTATTATGCATGAATTCAATTTACCACCACAAACAATAATAAGATTGGCAAGTTGTGAAGATATAAAAATAATTGGAGCTACTTTAATATCTTTATCAAATCATGTCATTTTT